CCGCCCGTGGACCCCGCCGCCGCGGCCGCGCCTCCCCCGCGGCCGGGGGTCGCCGCCCACCCGCTCGTCGCCTTCCTCTCCTCCCTCGTCCCCCTCCGCGGCGAGCGGCCGGGCGCGGCCCCGGCCCCGGGCCCCGCCGTGGCGGCGGCGGCGCGGAGGGCGGCGGAGAGGGACGCCCTGGCGGAGCTGCAGCTGGCGGGCTGCGCGGTGCCGCTGTTCCGGCCGTACGTGGCGCGGCTGCCCTGGCACGGCGGCACGCGGGCGTGGCTCTCCAAGCTCTTCCCGCGCTACGGCCACTACTGCGGGCCCAACTGGTCCAGCGGCAAGGAGGCCGGCTCCGTGCTCTGGGACCGCCGCCCCGCCGACCACCTCGACTTCTGCTGCTACTGCCACGACATGGCCTACGACACCCACGACCAGGCGCAGCTCCTCCGCGCCGACCTCGCCTTCCTCAGCTGCCTCGAGGGCAGCCGCAAGACGCCCGCGCTCGACGGCGTCGCCGCCGCCGCCATCTACCGCTCCATGTGCATCTTCGGTCTGATTCAATCGCCGCCGCTCAATTCATTCATTCCTGTGCACATTGCTTGTACAAATGGAAGATTGACAATTTGACATTTCATTTCTCTGATGATGCGTGTGCAGGGCTCAAGACCATACTGATACCGTACAGGACGAACCTGGTGCGGCTGCAAACCGGGCCGAATTATGCCGGCGCATTCGCCGATTTCATGAAGAGGATGGCCTCGTCTTCCGGCAGGGCGACAACGGGCGGCGAGAAGCATAGATTGTGAGGGCGACGACGTCGCCATCGGTCGAAGTGATCCGAGGTGATTGATGGTGCTGAATTGCTCGGTGACTGAAATCTATCAACTGTGCATAACCAAGTTTTTCAGGATGTAGCAATTGTAGTTACTGATGGGGAACTTGGTACTCCCAATGTGTATATAGGTTAGCATACGACCATGTGAACAATGTAACTTAGCATGGCAAGGAATTGCCAAATTGTTACACTGCTGATTAAAACAGGTTTGATCCTGCACAAGCTCTATTGGATTCACTGTCAAATGGGTGGAGAAAAGAAAAATCCTAAGAACAACTGATTTTGTTCTGAGCGCTACAGTTATAGTAACATGTAAAATATGATATCTGAATCCATTCATCAATCAACAACATATTCTTCCTCATTCCTTTCATGGAAGTCAAGTTTTGACTTCATTTCATCTCTAACAGCCTGTATGACAACCAAGGTGTATATATAGGAGGCCACGTTAACAATCTCCTCTGTATTTCATTTCACTGATCAGAGTATTAATCCCGATGTGCCTCAGAACCGGCCACATTTAGAAGGGACTGTTGATCTACAGGACTATACAAGAACGCACTTGGAGCTATCAAGTGCAGAAATAATGGCTATCTATAGCTACACATACACCCTACTGGGAGTATGATCCATGACTAGATGGAGGCTCTAACTTGTCCTCACGTAAGCCTGTGGGAACATCCTTGGGAAGTAAGCGCGCTTCGCCTTGACAACCAGCCAATACGCAGAGAAGCAAGGGACATGAGCGACGGCCATGGCGAGGTACCTGTACCGGATTATTGTCGCGGTGAGGATCGCACAGTCGATGGATAACAAGGTCTAAAAGTGAGGTGATAGAAGCACATACCATAGCGGAGCCCCGGGCGATGCAAGGTCGAGAAACGGGTAAGGCCACCTGAAGATGTTAACAGAATTACATCAACAAATGATAAAACGTAGGAGTAGAACTAGATGAAACTTGGGAGTGTAAGAGAACACATTTGCCCTAATTTTAAAAGCATACATACTGAAGTAACTGAGCTAATGTACATATCAACATCCAAAAGAATAAGAATCAGGTAGATAGCGCTACATGTGTTCTAGAATACACACTGTTGGTAAGAAGAGAAGATCTAAATTTCGGCAGAAGGTGATCAGAAGGTGGCTAACACATGTCCAGATGTTTTGGATAAACTGCCTCGCATGCAATTTACAATTCAGAACAGTCAGGCACAGCCTGGACTTCTTAGATAAACTATGTCACATGGCCATGGAATGGAAGAGCATAGTGTCACGCTTAGATCATTCTATTGATACGATTTTCATTATGCTTTCAGTTTCTATTTAAGAATTTACAGCAAAAATTTCTGTCGGACAATGTCAATGTTGTTTAAGTTATACTCCCATTTCAATGCTAGATACATCCATTTGAGCATCAACTAATTCCGCACGGAGGAAATAATAAAGAGGCTCTGACATTTTTGTATCTTTCCTTAGAGTACACATGTTTAACTTAATGCAAACATGAATTTGACTCAGAAAATGCTGAATTGGAGGCACTGCATCAAATTCAACCGTGTTAAGCAAATTGGGAGGACAGGAGGGACCTACCAGGATAAAGCTCCAGAAGCATGAATGACCCACTGGAAGGTCACATAGGAGCAACTCCAAAATACGAAGAAAGCGATCCGGTACCAGGGAAAAGGCTGAAAAACACAAAGGTCCGGCTGAAGAAGTAAATAAATGAACACAAAAGACAGAGCAATGCGATTTTTACATGCGATCTTACCATATTGTTGAGAAGTGTGTCTATGAGTAGGAGAACAGCATTTACAGAGTGCATGCCATCAGTGACCTGAAAGAAATTTGAAAGGTTAAGGATAACATAACAACAGACAGTCAATGCCTTGAAAGCAGTGAATTTGTTGCAAATAAACGTATTAGAAGCTGATCCATTCATGAATGATCTGCGTGGGCATAATTTAAATTTTGAATTCATCTCTTGTATCCAAGATTAGACGCTGACATAAATAAGAGAAAGCAAGACTACAACGGTAATCAGATCTAAGAATATGGATGTTGATCAAGACGGAAACAGGTCTGTTTGGATAGCTACACATGCCCAGGACTGATTATTACTGTTCAGATGGCATCTGCTGATGGACATAATCCATGTTGAGCAAAGTCACACAGACTATTTTACTAAAGAATTTGTACTGTGGTTCTTGTCACTGGGTATAGTTAACTGATATACAATTGAAAATAACCAACAGATTATAAAACTAAGTCATGCCAAGTAGTTATATTATGACCATGGAGGATTGTTACTGTTTACATATCATCAAGAGGATTGTTACTGTTTATACATATCAAGCAGGGTAATAAATAGTACTCCCTCCGTCCCAAAATAAGTGTCGCTGATTTAGTACAACTTCAATGCAAAATTGTACTAAGTCAGCGACGCTTATTTTGGGACGGAGGAAGTAGTACATATCTGGAATGTTCACATACCATGGAAAGCCCAAACTTATCACGGTAAAAGAATGGCACAAGGAGTCCCCAAAATGTGACATCAGTCAACATTGTCGCTCCTGCACTAGCCTGCAGACAGATAAATACTAGTATTAGACAAACAACATAGGCCAGTTCAGAAGGTGCGGATGAACAGGTTTTAGAAAGGGCAAGTAGGAAAAATGTAAAGCTAAAACAAAAACAAAGAAAAATAGGTGAGAAGACACACTACTAATTAGGGTCAGCTGCTAAATCATAGGCATTACGCTACGACGGTGGTATTGCATAGTCCTTACAACCAATAGCAGTTGAATTTACAGAACTGTTGAGAAAACACTGTCTATTAATACAATCTGAAAATGACAATTAGTTCAAACCTGGTAGATGATTTGCATACAACGTCCCCAGAAAGCAGCTCTTTTCTCATTTGCTATTTGTTCATAATAGCTTGCCATCTTGTCTATCTCACCGTTTTTCCTATCTCCAGAAATAGAAGCTGAGAGGTCACGATTTTCAACATCGCCATATTCATCAGCTTTTCTCAAGCTTTTCTTTGAGTATGACCAACATCCATGAGCTGATATAGCAGTCGCAACCTAAGAGTAAAATGCAAAAAATGGTGAAAATGTGGTAAGAAAACTAGAATCAATACATTAGCACATCCAGAGAGGAGAAGGTGGACATAATTGTGCATGATCGCTTGTAAAACTTTTCACAAGGCAGTAGCAACTTGGTAAGACACCATGAGGCAGAGGACATACCGCAAAATATATGGTGACTAATAAAAAGGTCCACCTGCAAGGCCAATTGGGGAAAGGAAACTAGTCAAAGGACAGTTAGGAAAAAAAGCAACAGCACGACAAGTAACTAAAAAGGAGGTGCTTCTGAAGTTTTGAGCCACTAACGGAAGATAGAAACATTCTACTAAAGACCAAACGGTTTTGCGTGGGGCAGCATGCACCATGCTCAAAACCGAAAGTAGAAACTTTATAGCTCCACAAAGCAGGGCAAAGATACGGACGCTGAAGGCAACTTCGCCCAGTGGAGAACTATGAACATGTGTGACAGTGTGGTGAACTTTGACACACCAAAATGGTCGTGTCTTCAAGGGCGACTGGTCAGAGCCACATTCCTCATATCCAACCCTTGAAACAAAGGATAAGATTTGGCAAAGGACATCAAGGGCGACTGGTCAGAGCCACATTCCTCATATCCAACCCTTGAAACAAAGGATAAGATTTGGGCAAAGGCTGACTGGGCCAGGTTGCTCCTGCTGCACACAGCTGTGTGGGTTCAATCTCGGTGTGCTTGTGACCTATTCTCTTGCTATCAGTGCAATGATGTTCAAATCTTCCGTTTGTTCACGAAAAAAGGCAGGAAGAATATTAAACTACAAAACTCCAAGTTGACACTTCTTGATGTGTACCATGCTTCACAGAATGACATCTATTTAGAATATGATGAAACAGGGGTCAATTTTCAGCGATTCTTACGGCGAGGTTTCTCGGGTTGGGAACACTGGGAGGAGGGCTGATGACAAAGCTGGCCTTATCGCACCCTCAAGCTTGTAATTTCGTTGATTAAATAGCACTATCTGAAGCTCTTTTGACGATTGAGCACTAAAATTACAGCCTAATTTGTTGCCCCCCTTTTTAGCTTTATTCCAAGCTCTGCTACTGTCCGGGAATCCTCCGTGCAGGGGAGTACTGAATACGTACTCTGCCGAGCAATTGCCGCGGCTAAATGCTAGTAATCGCATCGCATAATGCGGCCAAATGCACGCGAGTATGAACGGTGTGTACTGTGATTGTCTGGATTATTGGCGGTACTAATAACTAAGCTTAAGAGAGGATCAAGAGAGGAGGAGGAGGAGGGTGCGTACTGGGTGTAGAAGAAGAAGACCCTGGGGCCGTGGGGGACGATGTCGCGGACGAGGAGCGCGGCGGCGGCGGCGAGCGCGAAGGCGCGGTAGCCGAGGAGCCAGCCCGGGTGGAGGCGGGGCCAGCAGGGGAGCCAGAGGTCCGTGGCGCGGAGCGGCGCCACCGACCTCCGCAGCCGCGGCAGCAGCGCCGCCGCCAGCGCCGTGGGCACGGCGATGAGCGCGCCGCACACCAACACCTGCCACCGGAGCCAGTACGCCGCGCCGTCCGCCGGCGTCGACATCGCCCGCGGAGAACCCTAGCTGAGTCGCGCCCTGGTGGGGGAGGAGTTAATGCGGTCTCGCGCGCGGCTCCGGGTGGTGGTAGTTGGAATTTGATGCTCTGGTGTGGTGTTGGGGCGCGGGACGACCACGACCGCCGCGGGCTGAGGCCGAGGCGGGTTGAAATAGACGTGGAGCCGCGGAGACCGGTGGGGAACGCGTTGTTGTTGTGTGGCTGCTCCGGCGGCTGGTGGGAACGGCGTTAACGGCAGCGGCTTTCTTTCCTTGCGTTTTCACGGCGGATCCGACGGGGCGGAGGCGGCGCGAGCGCGGGCGTCTAGAAGATCGACGCGATTTTGCGGCGGAAATATGAATTTGGTGGATACTTGTGTGCTGGTCCACGCAAGCGAGGAGATTGAGTGGCTTACGGTAAACGGAGGCGAAGAAATTTGAACATCACCGGCAAACTTGAACATCGTTGTCATTCATTAACAAACGAATCTTCCTCGCGCAGCACGCACACACGAAGGTAAATACAATATGGAACTACGTAACCGTGAAATCCTCCTGTTTTGAAACTAACATAAGGCCCCCTTTGATTCAAGGGATTTTCACATGAAGTAGAAGCAAACGCCGGTTGTTTCCGGTCATTGTTGTTCGTTTTGCGGTAAGACTCCTACGTGGTCATGCTTATCCAGTGTGTTCACGCGTATCTTGCAATCAATCCCATGTTTTGAAGCTCACTACCATAGTTCATTCAGTTTGTCTAATTCATATCTAGATGTTTTTTAAGGATGTCACATTTAAACTCCTACAAATATATATGCAGCAACAAGAAACAAAAATAAACTACAAACAAAGTGGACATCAACTTAGATGTGACATAACTATGTCACGTCTAGATGTGTCCTAGACATACCCTAGTTCATTCTCCGAGAATCTCGCAACATCATCTCGCCGATTTGTGTTGCAAACTTTCTTTTTTCATGCATGCCGAGTCTATAATATCATGTTACCAACCAGATCTAAATCTCAGGATGATATGATGTTGAAAAGTTTTCCAAGAAGTATAATATTGGTCTCTCTGTAACCCGGTAATGGATGTTCTGGACAACACACCTAACCAGGAGACCTCTTATTGTAATATCTTGATTGCGCAATTTGGCCACTCCCCATGAGGATTTTGTATGACTTATTCTGAAAGTTGTTCCTTGTGGATTTTTTATGTTTCCGAAGTCCGACCTTTACTTGATGTTCTATATACCAAACTACTTATAATTGGGTTACGCTAGTATATCAAGGAGAACATTAGAAGCGGAGTGCTAAATGTCTCACGGTGGATCATTCAGGTTTTGTTCCTTGGCATTGCTAAGGTAAAATCTGACATAGTGATTCCTTCCTTTGCATCTGCATCCTCCATCATCATTCTTCACCGTAGTATGAAGTGTTACCGGGCTATTGGCATAGGTGTTAGTAAAATCCTGATGAATATGGAAATGCTCAATCTCTTGAGAGCACGCTCAGACACTGGGTTATATCTTTCGTATCAATCGGAATGTGCCTTCCGTTTGCCGAATCGTTCTATAACGATAGTTTCCTTTCCAAACTGAGTATGTCATTCCTTCAAATTCCTCCAAACAATCATTTGTGAATATGCCTCGGCATGGTATAAAGAGTTTCAATGATCTATGTATCAAAAGTAATTTTTTGTCACTTAAAAGGAATAATTCTACGAGTCACCTTCCCTAAGGTGCCTATTATGGTATTAAGGGTAATTAACTCCTCTGTACTTTGAAAATCCCTTCACCATTTTTTCGAGCGTGGAATTGTTGCCTACCAAATTGAAATCCGTGTCATCTATTTTCTTTTCCATTGCCCCTGATGTGTGTTTTGTGTCTCAGCTCAAGTGATGTTCTTACGTCTCACTCCATGAGTTGATCGTGAGTTGCTCCATTTTTGTGAAGATCGATTTTCGTAGAGTTTTCCATGTTCCTTTTTTGTCGTTGTGGTTGGATGAAGATCTCGTGGAATGATGCAATGAATTAACATCCTCGAGAAGGTCGGTTGGATCATGAAGACTGTGTTAGTTTTGTGTCCTCTCTCTCTTCTTACCTCAGGTCTTAAATCCCGGGACGAGATTCTTGTTTAGTGGGGATGAGTTGTCACAATCCCTAGAATAATTGCATGTGATTGGTCGCATTAGTGAGCATCATGCATCATGTTTAAATTCAAGAAATTTGGATCAAGAGAATTTTCAAAACCTCAGTTAAATAAAAGGGCAAGAACCCTGAAAAAGCATTCAGTGATTCCAAAATGTTCCTTTTAAAGTTCTGTCAATTTTGGCAATACTTGTTAGTCAAACCAAATTTTAGAAACATTTTTAAGGAATTATCTTTTGACTTTGAACTTAAATCAATAGCTATTTGCATTTGAAAATAGCAGCCCTGGACATGTAAGAGTCCATGAAAGCTCGTCCTGGACATGTAAGAGTCCGTGATCGGCAGAAACTTCCTTCTATAAAAATCGGCAGAAACTAGCCCGTCCGTTCACGATCACGAGAAAGCTCGCGTTGGTGTTGGTACGGGCGGCCTGTATACGAGGCAAGAAGCAGAGAAAGCCAAAGTAATTCCAGCGCGAAGCGCCGGCGCTGATACTGATGGCGCTGCGTTCTCTGCTGACAAAGATGCCGGCCCTTGGTCTCAGGTCTCGGGCGGCCGTCCACGCGCTCTCGCCGGCGGCGGCTCGTCGGCCTATGTCCCACGGTGGTCCGGTAAGCAAAGCACCTCGATAATCAATGCATAACCTGTTGCAAACCAACTTACTAGATCTGATCAGCTCTGATGCATCATTTATTTATCGCCTTGGAATTTTCGGAAGGAAGCTAGGGGGGTACTGTTTATTCAGAGACTCGGATCTGATTTAAACTCCATCAGATCGAAAATAAATCTTTGCTCAGGAATTTCCGATATAATTGAGTCGTATTTGTAGCATCTGTTCACTTTATTTCACTACATGGATTCTTGTAGGGGGCGCAAATCTCCTGTCCTCATATCAATCTCTCACCCCAATGTCGTTATCTTGAAATCAACAACTTACTTACTTGAGCAGAGTGTCTTGCCTCTTGTTATACAATATAGTTAGGTTTTGCCTATTTGAACTGATGATTTGTACTTCTAGCTAGTTATCTAGCTTTACTTAGATCAACTCTAGCAGATTTAAAACGACCCCAGTCCTTATGAACAACTATCATACACAAATTTCTCCGCATTGTTATCCTGATCTATTAGACACCCTGGATGAGGAATTACTTATTTCTCACCCTAGTCCATCTACCGAGCCGGAGGCCACGCACTAAGCCGCACCAGCCAGCGTCCAGGCTGTAAAATTACACCGGTATCTATCTAATTTTACGTTTATGTGCCCACGTTCCCGTCCACCTTCCATCCACGTCCTTTTCTTTTCTTGAGTTAAAAAAAGGTTGCCAACGGTTCGAGATTATCGACGGCGAACGACATGCGGGGATACGGCGGCGTCGTGCTCCGTGATTTGGCACGGCGAGATTTTGCTCGCGGAGCGCCGTGCTGCTCGGCGGCGTGGTGTCGACACTGGGGTGGTCGCTGGGCGATTGGGGCGGCCTGGTGTGCCCCGCTGGTGAGATGTGCCGCCGTCATGGTTGACAGCTTCCTCGAGCACGGCCTCCTCGGATCCGTCCTCCTCGTCCCCAGATCCATCCTTCCATATTTAGTTGCATGCCGCTAAATCAGTCGGGACAGACCCCAATCTGCTCGCTCAGGTGCCCCTCGAGCTCCCAATTGGACTAATGTCTGATGGATCTGGGTTCTCCGGATGGTGGTGTTGAAGGGACCCGAGTGGCTAACAACGTGACCGGCAAGCGGGAGGCAACCACAACCAGCGTCCTCGAGCTCTACTACTAATCATTCTGTCATCAGGTATGTTACATGGGTATGTACTACTATGTAGCCATACTTGCCTGCCCCAATAATTTTCATTTGCTTCAGTCCCCAATCTAGTTCGTAGCAGTCGTACATGTAGTAGAATCTTGCCTGCCCCAATAATTTTCATTTTCATTTCTAATTTTCAGAGCTTGCAGATTGTTATTTCAAGATTACTGTTTGGTTGTACTTTTGTTTCATCAGATGCACCATATGCAAATATACATCTATTATTCAGAAAAGTTTTTGCTCTATCACTGAAGGCCATACTTACTGTATCTATTAGCTGCTCCAAACATCATTAGTCTGTTACTATGTACTTAATAATGATTCTGGAGGTGCTGCTAACATTTCCTTCTAGAGATAAAAAAAAATGATTTGTGGGCTACAGTGATGTGATTGATTTCTGCTTACATTGCATTTGTCTTTCCTATCATCTATGTTTTGATTTAAAGTAGATATACCTCATGTGGGAGTTGGAACTAAATAACTCACGTACTTGTAGGAACCCTATCAATTTTGAGCTGCTTGTGTGTCATCATTAATTTTCACATAAAAACTAGGATTATTGTGTCATTAATTTTGCAGTAGAAATTATATCGCTAGAGCCATCCCTAGGCGTGCCACTTTTCAATCTATATAGCTACCGGTGCAACATAACAGTATGTAGTACCATAGCAGTTTTATACCACTTAATGATTTTCTGACAATGTTGTATGGTCTGAGTGCCTGAGTGGAACAGGTAAGTTTTTGTGAAATACAATAGCCCCTCCTCTTACGACCCTGTCAACTCTCCCAGTGGCAGTGTGCAAGAAGAACACGGATGGATGTGTCCACAAGCAAGATAGCAAGCATATCTCCAGGGACCGATGGTTGTTGATAGGCAGGGGCTAAATGGCATGTCAAAGAGGGGGAGAGAGACATAAGAGGAGACGCCGTGGCTGGAGGTGCTCCTCTCCTTTATGTCTAGCTTCCTCAGTCTCTGTAATACATCGTATTTGTTTTCTAATATGTGTATCGTCTTAACGCACTGTGCACGGATCTGCCTAACGGAAGAGGAAGAATTTGGT